CCGAGAGACTCTCTCGAGCTACACTACTAACTCGTTAAGCTTACGGGTGCTTAACAAACCGTTACAACTTGAGAGTTCGAGTCACACGAACCTCAACGAATCCTTCAAAGGAAACAGACCTTCCTTTTGAATCAACCGAGAGAGATGCTATCTCTCAACGTGTCTAAGAACACAAGTACACTCAAGAACGAGACTCTCTTATAGAGTAGATTATGAGTAAACTAAGTACGCTCAAAAACAACTCAACCTTCACACAAGTGGCTCTAGAAAGCTATGGAAAATGATGATTTTTGAATGCAATGAAAGTATAGATGTTGTGAAGTGAATTGGTGAGAAAAGCATACCCAAACACCCCTTTTTATAGTGCCAAAGAAGGCTCCAACGGACCAATGCATTAAAGGGGTGATTGGCTTGATTTATGGGATTGAAAGGATTTGGGATCTGCAGGATATTGGCTTCCCATCGATGTTTAGACTCAACCATCGCTGGTAAGCCAATTTTTCTTCTGTTTTGAAGTCAACGGTCACCTACCCATCAAGGGACAAGCAGAGGAAAGATGATTTTGAGAGCAATGCTCACAAGACAAGACAAGATCGGACTGGTGGTGACTACCAGAACCATAGATTTCAGCTTGATTCACCAGTTCAGTATACAAGTTAGGACGTGGATGGGAAGCTCCTAGGTGTTCCTTGATAGTTTGTTTCACGATGCTCTCCGTACTAGCCTTGAGGGCTGTGAATTGGTCTACTTCATACATGCCAGCTTTAGGAGGAGGAGCTCGGTCTTCATACCGATATTTAGCATTCGACGTAAGTCTATCTACTAACTCCACATTCTCCTCAGGTGTCATCTCCAGAAAAGAACCAAGTTTAGAAGAGTGGTCCAATTCCTTCTTAGATGGTACCGTTAAGCCTTGGTAAAAGTAGAACATCAAACTATCGGAATCAATTAGAGCAGGTGGGCATTTAACCTTCAATTCCTTGAATCTTTCCCATGCTTCGCACATCGATTCCATAGGTGCTTGACGGAAGTTTTGGATGGAGTTCTTTATTTTCACCATAGCAGATGGTGGAAAATATTCGTGCATGAATGCCTGGTGCAACGCCTCCCAGGTCTTGAAGTGGCCATTAGGGAATGTATTTAACCATCTAGCTGCCCGATCCCGAAGGGAAAAGGGAGAGAGCGACAGTTTAACACGATCCATGGATAAGCCGTTGGACTGGAACGTTTGGCAGGTCCTAGAAAACCACAGCATATGCGCTCTTGGATCTTCAGCCTTTGAGCCTCCATATTGGTTATTCGAGACCATTTGGATCATTGCTGGTTTGATTTCAAATGAATGGGCTTGACTAGCGGGGAGACCTATGGGATCTTCCTCTACGTACGCTGGGCTCAAGGCTTGAAGGATCGTTCGTCTAGGATTAGCCGCCATTTCATGTTCCTCTTCCTCCTCTGAGTGTTGATTCTCTTCCTCGCGATTTACCTCTTCTTCTTGTTAGAATAAAAGACCAACGCTAGAGGGGGGGTGAATAGCGTTTGATCGGAGAAATCGAAAAATTAAAAATTTAAAAGAGAAGTAAAGAGAAGACTAAGAGGCACACCGAATTTTACCCTGGTTCACCACAACTTGTGGCTAATCCAGCCTCCCGAGAGACTCTCTCGAGCTACACTACTAACTCGTTAAGCTTACGGGTGCTTAACAAACCGTTACAACTTGAGAGTTCGAGTCACACGAACCTCAACGAATCCTTCAAAGGAAACAGACCTTCCTTTAAAATCAACCGAGAGAGATGCTATCTCTCAACGTGTCTAAGATAACAAGTACACTCAAGAACGAGACTCTCTTATAGAGTAGATTATGAGTAAACTAAGTACGCTCAAGAACAACTCCACCTTCACACAAGTGGCTCTAGAAAGCTATGGAAAATGATGATTTTTGAATGCAATGAAAGTATAGATTTTGTGAAGTGAATTGGTGAGAAAAGCAGACCCAAACACCCCTTTTTATAGTGCCAAAGAAGGCTCCAACGGACCAATGCATTAAAGGGGTGATTGGCTTGATTTATGGGATTGAAAAGATTTGGGATCTGCAGGATATTGGCTTCCCATCGATGTTTAGACTCAACCATCGCTGGTAAGTCAATTTTTCTTCTGTTTTGAAGTCAACGGTCACCTACCCATCGATGGGTACAAGCTTCCCATCGCTGGGTGGGAGGTTGACTTCCAAACAAGGAAAGAATCAACCTTTAATGACCACCAACGGTCATGCCTTCCCATCGATGGTATACCCTTACCATCGCTGGGTTCCCATCGATGGGATAGGCTTCCCATCGCTGGGCAAGGTCGTTCTGCCTTGTGGTAATTTTGCACCAAGGCTCTAACAGCGATGGGTGGAACTCCCCATCGCTGTTTGGCATGGTTCTGGAAACTGGTTTGGCTGAGGGGCCGCTTACCCATCGATGGGAAGATCTTCCCATCGCTGGGTGAGTGGTTAGTCAAGAACCCATGGTTTTTGCCTTAACCACGGCCTAGCCAAC